ACCATCCAAGCTCAGTATCTTTTTTCAGGGAGGTGTGGTTGAAGTTTTAGATTCCTAGTCAGACCAGGAATCTTAACTAGGAGAATCAGGTAGATGTTCTGAGTTATCTGCTTCTGGCATGGTACTTTGTGGACTTTGTAGAGACAGATGACAGGCGATGACTCCCACACAATAGCACCTCTTTCTGGGGTCAGTGCAGAAAAAAGAATGTACTTTGCCGGGAGAAATTTGCCAAGAAATAGGACTTTTCAAGAAATGAAAAAGTTTTATGTCTTGATTAAGAGCGGCAGCTCTCAAAAGGGGCCAGATATCAAAGTCACTTGGAAAGCTTTACAAAATACCAAGGACAGGGCAAGAAAATTCATATTTTTCCCTTTCCCAGAATACTGCCAAAGAATATTCTGTAATTGCTAGCTCAGTTCCACACCCTTCCCTGCTTCTAAAAGGCTTCATTTTTCAGATCATTTGGGACAGGACTGGGGAAGTTGATTGGACCTTTTTGCTGAAAGACAGGCTAAGTTGATTTATGTGATAAAAATAAATAGACAGGAGGAGGGGGATTTCTGCAATCTGAGGAAATTATGGAGAGCAGTACACCAGACGACAGCAGAGGCTGTGAAGGAGGTAGAAGGAAAATGAAAAGGACTTCTGAATTTGTTGTTGCAAATTATAGACCTCCTTCTTGATTTTCAAGAAAAATACAAGAAAAGATTTATATGTTCTTTTCCAAATTTATTTTTTGCCTTAGTAACCATAACATGGACCCAAAACTGGACCACCATATAGATTTCAATTTTGATATATTCTGGGTGATTCTGACAAGTATCCTTATCTCTACCCCAACTTCATCAAGAACCACTCATGAGAACTTCTCAGAAAGGCCAAACTCTATAGCGATCAGGCCTTTCTTAACCCAGCACCCTCGTGATATCCACCTCTCCCCCACACCTGTGTCACTACTCATCAGAGCTCCATACTCACCTGGCTTTCTCTCCATATTTCTGCAAACTCCTCTATCTGCTTCTCTAGCTCCTTCTTCGGTTTTTGTTCCTTCCGACTCCCAGGTGCAGGCATGTCCCCTAGACACTATCTTCTATCCTCTCCTCTATGTAGGGTTCTTGGTCCAGAAAGAGGTTGTTGGATTTAGTAAATAAAAATGCAGAGTGCCCAGTTAAATTAGAATTTCAGATAAGCAATGAATAATTTTTAGTATAAATATTTTAATCTGACAACTGTGCCCAGAAATAATGTATGCTTTCAACACAAGTTCCTTTTTTTTTTTTTTTTAAAAAAAAAAAAGGAATTTTGGGAACTTTCCAGAACGCTGGGTGAGAGGCGGAGGAACGGTAGCTACACACAGCTCCACGCTCCTTCCCGCACTGGCCTCAGCCCGCTCACCGGCAATAGAAGATGGTGAAAGAAACCACTTACTATGATGTTTTGGGGGTCAAAACCAATGCTACTCAGGAAGAATTGAAAAAGGCTTATAGGGAACTGGCCTTGAAGTACCACCCTGATAAGAATCCAAATGACGGAGAGAAGTTTAAACAGATTTCTCAAGCTTATGAAGTTCTCTCTGATGCAAAGAAAAGGGAATTATATGACAAAGGAGGAGAACAGGTAATTAAAGCGGGTGGAGCAGGCGGCGGTTTTGGCTCCTCCGTGGACATCTTTGGTATGTTTTTTGGAGGAGGAGGAAGGACGCAGAGAGAAAGGAGAGGTAAGAATGTTGTACGTCAGCTCTCAGTAACCCTAGAAGACTTATATAATGCTGCAACAAGGAAACTGGCTCTGCAAAAAAATGTGATTTGTGACAAATGTGAAGGTAGAGGAGGTAAGAAAGGAGCAGTAGAGTGCTGTTCCAATTGCCGAGGTACTGGAATGCAAATAAGAATTCATCAGATAGGACCTGGAAGGGTTCAGCAAATTCAGTCTGTGTGCATGGAGCGCGAGGGCCGTGGGGAGCGGATCAGTCCTAAAGATAAATGTAAAAGCTGCAATGGCTAGTTCGAGAGAAGAAGATTCTAGAGGTTTATATTGACAAAGGCATGAAAGATGGCCAGAAGATAACATTCCACAGTGAAGGAGAACAAGAACCAGGACGGGAGCCAGGAGATATTATCACTGTGTTAGATCAGAAGGACCATGCTGTTTTTACTCGACGGCGAGAAGACCTTTTCACGTGTATGGACGTACAGCTGGTTGTAGCATAGTGTGGCTTCCAAAAGCCGATATCTACTCTTGACAACCGAACCATAGTTATCACCTCTCATCCAGGTCAGATTGTCAAGCATGGAGATATCAAGTGTGTACCAAATGAAGGCATGCCAATTTATCATAGACCGTATGAAAAAGGTCGCCTAATCATCGAATTTAAGGTAAACTTTCCTGAGAATGGCTTTCTCTCTTCTAATAAACTGTCTTTGCTGGAAAAACTGCTACCGGAGAGGAAGGAAATGGAAGAGACAGATGAGGTGGATCCAATAGAACTGGTGGACTTTGATCCAAATCAGGAAAGACGGCGCCATTACAATGGAGAAGCATATGAGGATGATGAACATCACCCCAGAGGTGGTGTTCAGGGTCAGACCTCTTAATGGGCCAGTGAATAACACTCACTGCTGGCATTTTATGTGCAGTAGTAAATGGGGAAGGATTGTAATCATAATATGCTCACTACTTGCTCTTGTTTTTAATATTCAACTATAGTAGTGTTTTAAAAAGTTAAATGAACAATACACGCAAATATAAAAGCTCTGACTTTGCCCTGTATGTATGATGACCTGTGTGCAAAATACAGTCTAATACCTGTAAAAACTACTTTACAAAGAAGTTCCCCCAGCATTTCTAGATCAGACCTTGTAATTGACTTCAGCTATGTGCGTGGACAAGCTTAGATTGAAATGCTAGGTATATGTATGGGCTTCAGTGTATGACCCTTCATTGTTTTTTTCTTTTTTTTTTTTTTAGACGGAGTTTCGCCCTTGTTACCAAGGCTGGAGTGCAATGGCGCCATCTCGGCTCACCGAAACATCCGCCTCCCGGGTTCAGGCAATTCTCCTGCCTCAGCCTCCTGAGTAGCTGGGACTACAGGCACGCGCCACCATGCCCAGCTAATTTTTTGTAGTTTTAGTAGAGACGGGGTTTCACCATGTTGACCAGGATGGTCTTGATCTCTTGACCTTGTGATCCACCCGCCTCGGCCTCCCAAAGTGCTGGGATTACAGGCTTGAGCCACCGCGCCCGGCCCGACCCTTCATTGTTAAGCTATGAAAGTAAAACTGTATTTAATTGGTAATGAGGAAAAAAATTGTAGAGAAGTGTTGGTCTGTATAGTTATTTGTATTAAGCGGGATTCATTGTAATGCCTCTGCATTTATTCTATTGCCTCAACTGTTACTGGAAGATGGCGTGATATATAATTTATCTGTGGTATCAGTAATTAAAATGATACCTTTCTGTAGGAGGGGTTTATCATAATATGCTGCTTCTTGAAGGCTTGCACTTCCAGAATTGTTTCCTTCTGCTGTGCCATCCATATATATATCCATATGTATCTTGACCAGTCCTGGTTATTTAGCACCCCCTCCCTCCTTGTCTGTGGACCATGATAAGCCCAAGTAGTGACTTCAGAGCTGGGTAACATAAAAATTAAAGTGAAAAGACCTTTATGTGGAGAAGTAATTTGCATGCGTAATGTAGGAAGGTGTTCTTTAGGTATGTTACAGGATTACTTTAAACCATTTGACTTACGCCCCAAAGTAACTAATGTTGGTAGTATAGCAAATTATGATGAATAGCTTTAATTGTATGTTTAAAAGTCTCATCATATGTTCACATGCTTAAATCTGGGTATCAGAATTTAAGCAATTCTTGAAATGTATTGTCTTCTTAAATATACTAATTACAAAACATCTCCAGAAAAAAAAAAAAAAAAAAAAGGAATTTTGGTTTACACAGTGAATTTGAAAATCTATTAGTAAACACACAAAAAAATCAAACATATTGACTGGGAGCATCATCTGTGAATGAATATTCAAAAGCGAACTCCGTTGATTGGCCTTGTTATGTATTCGGCATTTCTGGGTGACTCCAAGATCGAACTGTTTTACACAGAAAGAACCGCCCTGGAGGAAGCCTAGATGATACTCATTTATTAAATCATTTGGTCATCCAGTCACTCATTTATTTGGTAGAATTCAGCATGTTCCTGTCTATTTACAAGGTCATTTTTTTGGCAAGGGAAGTAGCTCAAGTTGACCCACATTTTCCCTTCCTCTAAACCATTGGCTTGGTTTTTTTCTTCATATAGAGTCTAATCGGCCTAATTCTCTCCTTGCTTCAGAAAGGCTCTTGCAGGAAGGAAAATGAGTCTTCCCATCGTTACATAAATTCTCAGGGGCTTTCCTTTATAAGTTTACGACAGCCAGGAGTTGAGCCTGGAGCTCTGAGAGAAATAGCCGCACACTGATTTATGATGGCAGCTGCTGCTAAATCTCACCCCTCTTTCCTCCTTACAGAACCATGTTACCTTGGGGTTACAAAGCTCTTTTCACTGTTATTCAGGGGAATAATAATAAAATGCCAGGTTGTGAGTATAAACATGATCATTCTGTGCCTATTATTGTAAATCAAATTTTACCTTGCATCAGAAGCGCAGAAAACATTTTATACTGTCAGCCACCTCAAGCCCTTGTAGCAGTCAGTCTTTACATAACCCTGGGATGACCTGACCTGAGTTATTGTTCAGGTTGCACTGGCCAGGGAAGCTGGTCATGCAGGTAATCTGGCTATTTCTCCTTGTAGACCCAGTTGACCACTTTCCTTGAGCTGAGTATTGACTTGGTCTAAGCATAGCAATGGGGTTAATGACATGACCCCAGGGTACCAATTGCCTGGGTTCAAGGATTGGCTTTGTAATTTACCATTTGTGTGACAATGGCAAGTTAGTTAACTTATATGTGATCAGTTTCCTTAGCCTTAAAATAGGTATGAAGATGATGATGATGGTGCTATGTTACAGGGTTGATGTTGGGTTTATCTTTGTTAACATACAGCACTTAAAGTGGGGCCTGGGACATAAGCGACACTTAGGTGTTAGTTATTTATAATTGTGCTTCTAGTGTGTAGGGGCTTCCAATTTTTTAGGATGAAGCCTCTATTTTTTTTTTTTTTTTTTTTTTGAGACCAAGTCTCACTCTGCCAGCAGGCTGGAGTGCAATGGTGCAATCTGGGCTCACTGCAACCTCTGCCTCCTGGGTTCAAGCAATTCTCCTGCCTCAGCCTCCTGAGTGGCCAGGATTACAGATGCCCACCACCAAAGCCTGCCTATTTTTTTTTGTTTTTGTATATTTAGTAGAGATGGGGTTTCACCATGTTGGCCAGGCTGGTCTTGAACTCCTGATCTCAGGTGATCCACATGCCTTGGCCTCCCAAAGTGCTGGGATTACAGGCGTGAGCCATCACCCCCAGCCGGAAGCCTCTATTTTAAAAGAATTTTTTTTTTTTGCAGATTCCCACACAATAATAGACTTTTAAGATATACATGATGAGCAAATACACGATGAAAAGAGACCAGCAAGAATTCAGGGATACTTCCATACTGTGGAAGGGCTCATTACTGTTTATCCAAGATTTGAGCAGGGTTTTCCTTTCCACACTGCTGCCCCTCTATGTTCAAGGGCTTGTTTCAGGAGTGCTTGTGAGTGGTAGCTATGGAAAAGGAGGCAGTCCCCTCGGGATGGTGGGATGAGTTCAGCAAAGTTTCTGGACACCCACAGGATGCCAGTGATGGAAGGGAACAAATGCAAGCACAGTCAGATCTGCTAACCTGCATAGTAACAAGTCATAGTTTGTGACTCACTCATCTCCACTCCATGGCCTGGGTCCCGACCTCTGGTCTAGGTTGTATACTGTATCCTCCCCTCTCCCTAGGCTCCATCATCATCAGTGTCCCTGGGGACAGGGGGTGGAATTGGATCTCTTTCTCTGTCTGTGTTCTCATTCTCTCCTATCCTTATGTCATAAACTCGAATCCTAACTTCCCTCGGGCCTTCCCGTTTAGTTCTTAAGGCAAGAGCTATTTTACTGTCTGCATTTGTTACAAAAAGTCCTAATTATCTTATAGGCTCCTGGAGAGAGTCAGACTGAGGAGGAATTGGCTCTAACAGTGTCTCCACCACTGTGTGATACTGGTCAGAACTTAGTGCCTCCATCATCCTTAGCAAACTAGCACAGGAACAGAATACCAAATACCACATATTCTCACTTGTAAGTGGAAGCTAAATGATGAGAACACATGGTCACAGAGAAGGGAACAACAGATACTGGGGCCTATTAGAGAGTGGAGGATGGAAGCAGGGAGAGAATGAGGGAGAATAATAAGTACTAGACAATACCTGGGTGACTAAATAATCTGTACAACAAACCCCCGTGACATGAATTTACCTACATAACAAACCTGCACATGTAGTCATGAACTTAAAAGTTAAAAAAAAAAAGTGGCCCCGGGCACGGTGGCTCACATCTGTAGTCCCAGCACTTTGGGAGGCCGAGGTGGGTGGATCACTTGACCCCAGGATTCAAGACCTGCCTGGGCAACATGGCAAAACCCTGTGTCTACTAAAAATACAAAAATTAACCAGGCATGGTGCCGTGCGCTGGTAATCCCAGCTACTCGGGAGAATCGCTTGAACCTGGGAGACAGAGGTTGCAGTGAACTGACATCGCACCACTGCACTCCAGCCTGGGTGACAGAGCATAACTTGGTCTCAAAAACAAAACCCCAAAGTATAATAATACCGTTGAGCTCAAGTTTATGACATTGCTGTCTTTTTTTTTTCTTTTTTTGAGATGGAGTCTCGATCTGTCACCAGGCTGGAGTGCAGTGGCGCGATCTTGGCTCACTGCAACATCCGTCTCCAGGATTCAAGCGATTCCCTTGCCTCAGCCTCCCAAGTAGCTAAGATTACTTGTGCACACCACCATGCCTAGCTAATTTTTGTATTTTCGCTAGAGAAAGGGTTTCACCGTGTTGGCCAGGATGGTCTCGATCTTTTGCCCTTATGATCCACCCGCCTTGGCTTCCCAAAGTGCTGGGATTACAGGTGTAAGCCACTGTGCCTGGCTACATTGCTGTCTTTTATTACACCTTTTTATATTAAAAATAATAATGAATAAAAATGTCATAAATAGTAATTGTGTAAATATAAAAGCCCTTATTAAAAAAACAAATCTTAGTGCCTCAATTTTCTCTTCTGTAAAGTGGGGACACGAAATTACGTAAGATGTAGGGTCCTGGGCATTTAAATGAGAGAATGTACGTGAAATATTTAGCCCGGTGAAGGGCTAGGCACATGGGGAGAGACCAAAGACACTAAAGTCTATTATTTTCCTAGAATCAAAACCAAAACTTATTAGAAGGCTCTCTTTATCCAATTCTGTCCTCAAAATTGGACTCTAAATCTTTAGTTCACTTGAAACATTCGCTAAATATTAACACTGCTTTGAAATTCTCTATTCTCTCTATCCTGTGACTTCTGACATGAGGTCATGACATGATGTCATAATTCACCTCCTGCTCTGACTTCGTGAGAATTTCCCAAGTTGGTTGGTGCATGGGGTCCCTCACTTTTTCCATCTAAGAGGTCTCTGGTCTCCCCTCTCTGAGCACTGTGAGGTAGGGTTGTTGTGCATTTGCTCTTGGTGTTATTCCTTTTGCTAAACATGAATAATGATATTAATGAATGGCTTTGGAGATTCTTCTTCCTTCCTTTGCATTTTTCAGAGATATGTTTCTGGTTTTGGTATCTATTAGAAGGGTATTTAGGTTTCTGTCCTGTGACAATCAGGATTTATAGTACAGAAAACTAGAAGTTATTATTTGTATTTTAAGGCTCTCTCTATGGCAGCCAGGTAAGCCCTTGGGTGCCCTGATTTACTCACTTGGTTTTTTTCTCTCTCCTGGGTATAAGACCAACTACATAATTTACAGAACCCAGGGCAAAATAAAAATGCAGCCCAGCCTCTCATTCAAAAATTATCAAGAATTTCAAGAGGGTGAAAGCATAGCATCAAATCAAGAGCAAGGCACTTCTTTTTTATTTTATTTTTTAGTTTTTCCATAAGTTATGCGGGTACAGGTGGTATTTGGTTACATAAGTTCTTTAGTGGTGATGTATGAGATTTTGGTGTACCCATCACTGGAGTAGTATACCTATTTGGAGTCTTTTATCCCTCATTCCCCTCCCACACTTACCCCATAAGTCCCCGAAGTCCATTGTATCATTTTAAGAGCAAGGCACCTCTAAATCTGGGGCCCTTCTAAGTTCAGGGCTCTATGTGACTGCATGGGTTGCTGGCCCATGAATCTAATCCTGCCTATGAGGCAATGGTGGTAAGAGCTTTAGAATGTTGTAGGCTTAGGTTAGAGTCCTAGCTCTGCAAGCTACTCTTTTGGAGGAAGAAATATAAGAAAAAGTGGGTGCAGGAGCTTATCAGATTGTGAGGGGCATATTAGTTTGATGGATCCCAGGAGCAGGAGCCAACATTTTATTCCACTTTAAGTGCTGAGAATAGTGCTTTGTACCTAAAAAAATGTTTAATTAAGACATAATTCACATGCAATAAAATTAACTCTTCAGAAGTATATCCAGCGGTTCTAGTACATTCACAAAGCTATACAACTATTACTACTCTCTAATTCCACAATATTTTCATCACCCAAAGAAACTCTATTTCTATTAGCAGTCCCTTCCCATTCCCTCCTGCCTCAGCTACTGGCAACCACTAAACTACTTTTTGTCTCTATGGGATTTGCCTATTCTGGACATTTCATATAAATGAGAAACAATATGTGGCTTTTAGTGTTTGACTTCTTTTTTTTTTTTTTTTTTGAGACAGGGTCTTGCTCTGTTACCCAGGCTGGAATGCAGTGACTCACTGCAACCTCCATCTCCTGGTTCAAACGATTCTCCTGCCTCAGCCTCCTGAGTACCTGGAACCACAGGCGTGTACTACCACACCCAGCTAATTTTTGTATTTTTAGAAGGGACAGGGTTTCACTGTGTTGACCAGTCTGATCTTGAACTCCTGACTTCAACTGATCCACCTGCCTCAGTCTCCCAGAGTGCTAGGATTACAGGCATGAGCCACCACACCCAGCCATGTTTGACTTCTTTCACTTGGCATAATGTTTTCAAGGTTCATCCATGTTGTAGCATGTATTAGTGCTTTATTCCTTTTTTTTTTCTTTTTTTGAGACAAGGTCTCACTCTGTCACCCAGGCTGGAGTGCAATGGCACAATCTCAGCTCAATTCATTCCTTTTTATAGCTGAACAATATTCCATTGTATGAATATAACATTTTCTTAATTCATCTATTGATGGACATTTGAGTCATTTCCATTTTTTTGGCTATTGTGAATACTGTTACTATGAACATTTGTCTACAAGTTTTTGTGCAAACACATGTTTCCAAGAGTAGAATTGCTGAGTCTTATTGTAACTATGTTTAACTTTTTCAGAATCTCCCAAATTGTTTTCCAAAATGGTGGCACCATTTTACAGTACCATCAGTGGCATATGAAGGTTCCAATTTCTCCCCATCCTCACCAATACTTGCTATTATCTGTCTTTTAAAAATAGCCATCCTAGTGGGTGTAAAGTGGTTTCTCATGGTGGTTCTGGCTTGCATGTTCCCAATGACTAATGATGCCAGGCATCTTCTTATGTGCTTACTGATCATTTGCATATCTTCTCTGGAGAATAATCTATTTGGATCCTTTTGCCTATTTTAAAATAGGATTATTTGTCTTTTTGTTATTGAGTTGCAGGAGTTATTTATATATTTTGGAAAACTAGACCTTTATCAGCTACATATGATTTGCAAATATTTTATTCTATCATGTGGGTTGTCTTTTCATTTTCTTGATAGTGTCCTTTTGTTACAGGAAGGAGATCCCAATCCAGACCCCAAGAGGGGATTCTTGGATCTCACCCGAAAGAATTCAGGGGGAGTCCCTAGAGTGAAAGCAAGTTTATTAAGAAAGTAAAGGAATGAAAGAATGGCTGCTTTATAGACAGAGCAGCCCTGAGGGCTGGGGGTTGCCCATTTTTACCGTTATTTCTTGATGATATGCTAAATAAGGGATGGATTATTCATGCCTCCTCTTTTTAGACCATACAGGGTAACTTCCTGATGTTGCCATGGCGTTTGTAAACAGTCATGGCGCTGGTGGGAGTGTAGCAGTGAGGATGAACAGAGGTCACTCTTGTGGCCATCTTGGTTGTGGTGGGTTTTGGCCAGCTTCTTTACTGAAGTCTGTTTTATCAGCAAGATCTTTATGACCTGTATCTTGTGCCGATCTCCTATCTCATCCTGTGACTTAGAATGCCTAACTATCTGGGAATGTAGCCCAGTAGGTTGCTCAGCCTTATTTTACCCAGCCCCTATTCAAGATGCACTTGTTCAGCCCCTACTCAAGATGAAGTTGCTCTGGTTCAAATGCCTCTGACATTTTGAAGCACTAAAGTTTTTAGTTTTGGTGAATCCAATTTATGTATTTTTTTTTCCCTTATTGCTTGTGCCTTTGGTTTCATATCTAAGAAACTATTGCCTAATCTGAATTCACAAAGATTTACTCCTACATTTTCTTCTAAGGTTTTACAATTTTAGTTCTTACATTTAGGTCGCTGATCCATATTTAGTTAATTTTTGCATATGGTGTGAGGTAGGATGCATATAATTCTTGCTTAGCCTGATAATAATCATGTGATCCCTGGTAAGTTCTTGCACCTAAGTCTCAGTTTTCTTATTTGTAAAGTGAGAATAACACATGGTGCCTAAATCATAAGGTTACAGTGAATATAGAGAGAACAGTTACATAGAGCATTTATCACAATGCTTGAAGCATCCTAACTGCTCAATAAATGCTGTCGGGGTTACAATTGGAACATGAACCATGAGTGCATGCTTCTACAGTGAATGCCAGAAAGACCAGCAGCATTTCTCAGAAGGTAAACGGGAGGAAGTACACTTGCTTAGTCCACTTAGACAAGCAGGTCTGGGATTGTTGTGAGAGTCTCTGCCCTAGGTAGACCACTGCCTCACGGTCACCTCTAGGGAGTGGTAAAAATTCGAATTCTCGGGCCCCATCGGTCCTACTGAAAAGAGCCTCCTCTGAGCACCGGGCCCGCAGTGGTGTCGGTGACAGTGGTCGCGCCTGCAGCGCCGCCTTTACCCTGCTGGAGGCGCCCGAGAGACTGGGGCGACCACGGCGGCTGCGCAGAGCCCTCCCTAAGCTGGCGGCCGCCCCAGCCAGATCCGCCCGGCTCAGCTGACAGCTACCGAGAACGGAAGAGGCGGCGCGCCGGTTCAGCCGGGCGTCTCTAGGCCTGGTCGGCTGGTGTCGGTGAGTGGGTCCCGGGCAAGGGCGGAGGGCGGAACTTTGGGGCTCGGCACTGCCGGACGGCCGGAACGTACGGTGGGGACCGCTCTCTGGGCGCGCGAGGCAGAGAAGGGGGCCGGGCCGGGACTGTCCAGTGGGCCTCAGTCCCTCAAACGCGCACCCGGCGTCCGCAGCCTGCCTGGCCAGGACTCCCTTCGGGACGCTGAGCAGGAAAGGGAAGGTTTGGGCCCTGCTCCTTCGGGACGCCCCAGGCTGGTCAGCAGCTCACACGCCCGCGTAGCGCCCTTTGACCCCAGCGCTGGGGCTGATAGCTAGCCTTGGTGGGCCTGCCCCGGTTTGGGGGCAGTGGCCCAAACGACTCCGCACGCCGGGTGGCGAGCCGAACCCTAACCAGGGCACCCGAAGATCAGATGGATAGAATGAGAAGGCAATGAGAGTTAGCAACCTGAATTGAGGTACTGGATTCCAGGTGACAGCTTCACAAGCTGAAATTTCGTAGGGTAGGTCATGAGGAACTGTTGAAACCCTGCCTGGAGTACAGGTTCTTAGCCCTGGCTGCATATTGGCATCACCTGGAGGACTTGGAAAACCACTGAGGCCTGAATTAATTGTTCTGGGGTGTGGCCTGGGTATTGAGATTTTAAAAAACAGCTCCTCAGAAGATTCTAATGTGCAGACAGATGGGGAACACTAACCTAAAATCATAAACTGCATAAATTAATCTCTCATACCATTTGCAAATGTTTTAACAGGAAGAAACAAAAAGCTTAATTCAATTAGCACCATATCTCTCACCTAGTAAAATTAAGATTAAATAAGATAATGTGACAAAAAGAGAAGATAATTTACATTTATTGAGCACCTACTATGTACTGTATTAGGCCCTAATACAGTACATAGTAGGTGCTCAATAAATGTAAATTGATTCTGAATCTCCCCCCCCTCCCCCGCCCCGACTTTATTTTTTTTTGAGACGGAGTCTTGCTCTGCCACCCAGGCTGGAGTGTAGAGTTGCGATCTTAGCTCACTGCAACCTCCTCCCCTGGGTTCAAGCGATTCTCCTGCCTCAGCCTCCCAAGTAACTGGGATTACACGTGCCCACCAACTATGGACTATATTCCCTTTTCCCCTCACTCCAGTGAAGAAGCCTAGCTCTAAAGCATTTAGAATAAAATTTAAAAGTTTGTGTTTGTATACTCTTGTTTAAGTATTTTTTTGATATCAAAATTAACCTTGAGTGTCACTGGCAGGATAAATTCATGAGCAAGAGAGAGGAAAAACTGGAGGGAGATGGCAAATGAAGGAATATAAGAAGCAGAAGAGAAGAAAAAACTAAACAAAAAAGAAACTTAAGAGGCTGTTTGTTATGGGGCGTGGTGTACTGTCCTCTCATATGAACTTGGTGTTCTTCCTTAGCTCCTCCTCATGTCTGAGGGCAGACAGATCACTGCTGGGGACATGCAAATACTCCTTTAATCATGTGGCTCAGATAGTCTACCCTAGGAGAGTAAAATGCACCTGTAGATTAGGATTGGCTATATGTTAGGATGTGTTTGACTTAATTGGTGATAGTGGAAATTCAGAATTTTAATTTGGAGAGGGTCCTAACACCATCTTCTGTGTTTCTTTTCTGCAGATGGCAGGATTTTCATAGTATTTGTAATATGAGTTCAACATCCTGGCCTCTTAACCAGCTTCAGCAGTCTCAGCTCTACCAGCTAGAGAATAAATGGGATGTGCACAAAGTCCACTCTGAACTGAAATACAGACTTCGGTGTTAATATCCTTTTCTTCTGATTGTTATTAACAGGTACTAACTGACCTCAAGTAGAATATGTAAATGTGTCTTAGATAGGGATGCAGCTTAAGCAGAGCCATTAACTAACATCTCCTAGAAAAAAAAGTATTTTTTGAAAATGAAATTTTAAATTTCATAGTATCATCTTTTAGAATATAAAAATTCCTTACTTTTCAGGCCAGGCATGGTGACTCATGCCTGTAATCCCAGCACTTTGGGAGGCCGAGGTGGGTGGATCATCTGAGGCCAGGAGTTCGAGACCGGCCTGGCCAACATAGTGAAACCCCATCTCTACTAAAAATGCAAAAAATGAGTCAGATGTGGTGGCAGACACCTGGAATCCCAGCTACCTGGGAGGCTGAGGCAGGAGAATCGTTTGAACCCAGGAGGCAGAGGTTGCAGTGAGCCAAGATTGCATCACTACACTCTAGCCTGGGCAACAACAACAACAACAAAATCCTAACTTTTCAATTTTGAACATTTTAATTAAAAGTATTTTAGTTGTGAGGGGAGGACATTTGCAAATGCAATTGTAGATCAATATTTTAATTGACAGAATGGTAGTATTTTTGTTTTATTGAAATTATTTTTGTAAATTCTCATTGCCTATTTTTTGCACATTTAAATTATCTGAAATTGTGTTGTATCTTTCAGCTGATGAAATTTTTAAAAACATTGATTCATACTTTATTTTGTTTTTTGAGAAAAGGTCTTGCTCTGCCACACAGGCTGAAATGTAGTGGTGCAAACACAGCTCACTGTAGCCTCAACATCCAAGGCTGAAGCAGTCCTCCTGCTGCAGTCTCCTGAGTAGCTGGGACTACAGGCACATACCACCACACCTGGCTAATTTTTATAGAGACAGGATCTTGCTATGTTGCCAGGGCTAGTCTCAAACTGCTGGACTCAATCAGTCCTCCTGCCTTGGCTTCCCAAAGTGCTGGGATTACAGGCATGAATCATCACACCCAGCCAGTTCATACTTTTTTTTTTTTTTTGAGACAGAATCTCATACTGTGGGCTGGGCACGGTGGCTCACACCTGTAACCCCAGCACTTTGGGAAGCTGAGGCAGGTGGATCACCAGGTCAAGGGATCCAGACCATCCTGGCCAACTTGGTGAAACCCTGTCGCTAATAAAAATACAAAAATTAGCTAGGTGTGGTGGCGTGCCTGTAGTCCCAGCTACTTGGGAGGCTGAGGCAGGAGAATCATTTGAACCCGGGAGGTGGAGGTTGCAGTGAGCCGAGATTGTGCCACTATTGCCTGGGCTGGAGTGCAGTGGTATAATCTTGGCTCACTGCAACCTCTGCCTCCCAGGTTCAAGCTATTCTCCTGCCTCAGCCTCCCAAGTAGCTGGGATTACAGGTGCCTGCCACCACGCCTGGCTAATTTTTTTGTATTTTTCGTAGGGTTGGGGTCTCACTATGTTGGCCAGGATGGTCTTGAACTCCTGACCTCGTGATCTGCTTGTCTCGGCCTCCCAACAGTTCATACTTTAATTGTAGCTAGTTTCTCTTTTCTTTTTTGAGACAGAATGTCTCTGTGTCACCAGGCTGGAGTGCAGTGGCACAAGCTCAGCTCACTGCAACCTCTGCTTCCTGGGTTTTAGCAATTCTCAATTCTTGTGCCTCAGCCACTGAGTAGCTGGGATTACAGGCATGTACCTCCTACCTTCATGCCCGGCTAAATTTTGTATTTTTAGTAGAGATGG